AAGATACATGCATCCTCAGGATTCAGTTTAAGCATAAGGAGATCAGTGTAGAACTCAAGAGGTTTCTCTGCAACTTCTGGATTAGAAGAACCAAATAAACCTCTGTAAAAAGAGACTACTAACTCCCCCATCTGCTCCACATCATCCACAACTGCCCCTGTATCCAAAAGCATGTGATCTATAGTCAGTTTTTTAGTCATAGTCTTCACATAATTGTGAAAATAGGCTTTTGTCTATAAAAGCTCTCCTCCGCCTTCTGCAATTGATAGCAAGTAAGAGCCAATTCTTTTTCCAAACTAGCATTCTCAGGAGAGGGATTCGACAGAACAGACTGTTGAGTTGCTGCAAGAAGCTCCTCCACCTCCCTAGTCCTAGCCGAAATGTCAAAGAACTGAGTACAGTTGAGAGTAGTGAGTCCCTTCTTCAAGGTCTTCAACCTCATAGACAACCGATAAAAAGGATCTCCCCTCTGATCCGAAAGTTCCCAAGCAGTCTTCAAAATACCCTCAAATTGAGGATGTGATCTCCAAAACTTAAAATACTTGAACGACTTTAGTAAACTCTTAACCATACGATCGGAAGTTAAAAGAAGACCACAGTGATCCGAAACCCCAGGACTTATTGTTCTTCCTGAGCTAGACGGGAGCATATCTAACCAAGGACCATTAACTAACACTCTGTCAATACGCCTGGCTATAGGGTTATCCTCTTGACGGTTCCACCATGTGTACCGTGATCCATTGATCTTATGATCAACCAACTGCATACGCTCTATCCACCCCCTAAAGTCCAACATACTTTGAATCACATCAACCACATTCGAAGCCTCATCCACCTCTACAATGGCATTAAAGTCTCCCATTACCACCCAAGGACTAGATACAGTTTTACAGACCTCCAGCTCCTGATATAACCTTAGTCGATCCACTGACTTATTAGGGCTATAAACTGCAGTTAACACCAGCTCTTCCAAGCCCTTAACAACCCTCACATGGACAAAATGTTTCCCAGATTCCAACCGAGTAACCTGCAACTCACTCCAAAAAAGCCAAACACGTCTAGTAGGAGACTTACCATAGTTATTTAGGTACTTCCCGTTCTTAAAAGGAACATTCACTATAGAAGCAGAATTACTATAAGAAACACGAGTCTCTAACACAGCTACTATATCAACATGAAATTTATTTAATCTACTAACTACATAACTATGCTTCTCAGAGGCATTAAATCCTTAGGGAATGGGTTAGGGTGATTACTAGTTTTTTAGTAATCACGGTGGCAACCTCTTTATATACCATTTGATTAATTATTTTCCCTTCTTTTTTAATCTTATGGTCAAGATTCTTTTAGGGTAATTTTGGAAATTAAAAAGTGACCACACCTGATTATTCTATATAATCTACCTAAACCCTAGTTCTATCCTCTCTCCACGACCTACGCAGCAGTCCACGGGGAAGCATCAATCAGCTCGACCTCCGGCCACTCGCCACCGTTACTCTTCCCCTCTTCTTTTTTCCTTACGCAGCAAACAACATAATCATCACCACGAACACCAAGAAACTTAGCCAACTCTCCATTGATACCTCCGGCCACTCGCCACCGTTACTCTTCCCCTCTTCTTTCTTCCTTACGAAGCAAACAACATAATCATCACCACGAACAGCAAGACACTTAGCCAACTCTCCATTGATCTTGAACTCGTGCATCACCCACCCGTTACTCTCACTCTCTTTACCACTACTCCCACCGCCGCCGCCGTCCTTCACTTTGTACGAGAAGGACCGCTTGGTGCCGGTGCCGATCTCCTTCTCGCCCGCCGGTGGTGTTTGTGGTATTGATCTCTCTCTCTCTCTGCTCTCTTCCTTATGTGCAGTGGTATAGATTTAATAACCTAGATCTAGTAATTTTTGTTTATTGATTCAATGTGCAGTGGTATATATTGTTTATATTGGTAGTTTTCGTGTAATGGTATAGATTTATTTCTGCAATGGTATTGATTGTTTATATTGGTAGTTTTCGTGTAATGGTATAGATTTATTTCTGCAATGGTATTGATTGTTTATATTGGCAGTTTTTGTGTAATGATATAGATTTATTTCTACAATGGTATTGATTGTTTACGGTATAGATTGTTTATATTAGTAGTTTTCAGGTAATGGTATAGATTTATTTCTGCAATGGTAGTTTTCGTGTAATGGTATAGATTTATTTCTGCAATGGTATTGATGTTTTTCAAAGTGGTAGTGTTTGTCTAATGGATTGGTACTGATTTCGTTTTTTTTTTCCAGAAAGATTGAGAAAAATATGGAAAGGAAATCTGGCTGGAGATTCCGGAAGTGAGAGAAAGAGAAAATTTTAATTAATAGATTTTTGTAACTACCTAAAATGTAATTTATTAAAATTTTAATTAATATAATTTATTTTTTCCATACCCAATTTACCCTTAGTAACCACGGTAATTACTACATTGTATTAATCACCGTAACCTCCCAATCCTCAGAGGTTCCAACTCAATAATATCATCAACGTTTATTCCTCCCACGCCCCTTCTTACAAGGAGCAGGATAACGAACAACAGGCTTCTTAGCAACTTTTGAACAATTCAATTGCAGCAACCAATGCATCAATATCTTTCACTTCCACAGACTTCCATACCTTAGGAGCAACTTCCTCTTCAGCCACTTTCGTTCCACTAGTAGAAGCTACTACTGCACCCATATCTAAACCCTTTGGAACTAGTCTGAACCCCCCAGAAGAGCTCTCCCCCACCGTAAGAATAGCAGTAAGTGGAGAGGTAGGAGTATAATTTGTTAGAATCTCTATTTCACTAAGTTAGATTAAAACTATTATTGATTGGTTAGAATATAATTTGTCATGGTGGTGCAAACCCTTACAGGGCTATCACCAAGTCCAATTCCATCTGCATATATATGATTTAGCACTATGGCATGTTGAAGTTCAAGTGTTCCACTAATCCCCATTAGAGATTAGACAACAGTAATCTCCATTATTCTTTTCAGAATAGTAATCCCCCATTATTAAGAATACGTTAAGTTGTCGCTGTTAGGAAATGATGAGTCATTAACCAATAAAAAATAGATAATTGATACCCTAATCACCATACCTCTCGTCTTCATCTTCCTAATTAATTTCTTAGGTATGAAATAATTGAATTGCTTGCATGTCATCTTTCCACTATATTCAAAAAGGGGTCGCATCCACATGCGGACGACTAAGTCGCACACAACAGAAAAGGAGCCACAGTTAGTTTCATAATAATCAAAGAAAAAGCTTTCACCCCAAAAAGATGATTACAAGGCAACTAGCAAAAGCAAATATATGTTTTTTCTTTAAAAAAAATTCTTTTTAGGTTAATCATCAGATCCTTATCCTAAAGTGTATTGTACAGGCTATTGGCTCATTTCAATCATTAAACTTTACTAATTGCTCTTAACGCTATGAAATAAAAAAGAATAGTCGGACAGGCACATGAAATAATATTGGATAGCTACTACTTTCTACCAAAAAAAATTATTGGATAGAAATGTGAACATGTAAACATTTTTTTTATCTAGCGGTACAAGGCTATCGAACCTTATAAACAACCTTTACATACCGTTTTGGATAAATGATTTCACAAGTTTTGAGAAATTTATTTTGAAACAAAATATTTTTGTGTTTGAAATTTAAAAGAATTCATTTTCAATTCTAAATTTTGAATTCTATGGAATTGGAAGTAGTTATTGCAATTCCGGGGAATTGAGATGGAATTTCCAAAATTCCTTAAGTATTTACTAATTATAATATAATTATATAATTATTCTATTTTATTAACTAAATTACTTATACATACGACATACTAAACACAGGAATTCATTTGACAATGAATTCTACACCACAAGTCATTATATTTCTAAATATTTGAATATAACATACCAAACGCAAGATTTCATTTTACAATGAATTCTATACGGTAATTCATTTTACAATGAAATGAATTCTCGATTCGTTTGGTACCAAACAGTCTGTTAGCCTTATAAACAACCTTCTAAATTCTTGTTTTCCGGCGAGAAAACTTGCGTTGAATTGAGATTAATGCAACTTTGACTTCTTTGGACAACAATTATTATGACACGGTTCAAACTTCTTCAAACAAAGTTCGAATGAGGGTGTTTGATTGATGGTGAAAGGAAACTGCAAATTCTAAGTTAAGTTACTCCTACTCCTATGGAGGTTCAACGAGAGCTCTAACTACGACAAATGCTACATTGCAGAGAAAAGGATAAAGTTTGACATTGGGTGTCAAATGGTTGGTTGTGGAACCCCTCTCTCTATCGACCCTTCCTCTTATTTATAGTTAGGAGATAACTGTGAAAACCGCCTCTTGGATAATTCCCAAAAAGAACCGGTCCCTACTTCCTTGTAGTGGTGATTACACCTTCAACCTCCTAGGTGCTTCTCTTGGAACTACCGTGGGTCTTGGAGTATAGTGTTGCTTGCCTTGCCAATTCTTGTTCCAAATCTCGTGCTATGCTAGTCTTTTGATAAGCATGTGGTGTCTGATAGAAACACGTTTTTATGATTCTATCATAATTATTATTAGGATACTTACAAATAAGGATAGTAGCCTTTTAGTAGAATTAGGTTTTGATAGAAACACGTTTTTATGATTCTATCATAATTATTATTAGGATATTTACAAATAAGGATAGTAGTCTTTTAGTAGAATTAGGTTTATTAGTAGGGTTTCTATCTTTTTCTATATAAGTGTACTTTGGGATTTCATTAGAATCCGTCAAGAAGAATATAAAGAAAACTCTCCTAAACCCTAATCTCTTCCTATTCTCTCAATTCTCGATCTCAACCCTCTAAAGGCCTAGGCCGATTCTCTATCCTTCTCTTCTCAAATCCCTAATTCTATTCTGAATCCTCAATTCCCAATCTCACGAACAGACCCGATAGAACCTTAATATCAGGTTCTATCATTTGGTATCAGAGCCATGGTCGAAAATCTGAGTTCGTCACAACTCTCCAGAAACCACTATCATGTGTTGCACGAGTGCCTTTGCAACCTGGAAACCCTCATGGTCAAACGAGATGCAGAATGGGAGCGGCAGGACGTAGAGTTCACACGACTCCTAGCCCTGATTAGCAAAAGGGTCACGACATTTGAATCACCACCTACAACCGCGGCATCTCCTGTCCACGACGAGAAGACAGACCAAACGGCTGTAGAGGAGTTGACAGCGGCGGAGCTTTCAACCTCACAAGAGACGATGAACTGCATCGGGACACAAGAGAAAAGGGCTCTCGCTACTGGTATCCCTGCCGCTGCTCTAAACCAAGGAAAGGAGACTCCGAGCGCCACCGAAAAACAGCAGCAACCTCTCCGACCACCGTCGCTACAGTCTCCAAGACCGCAGGACCCTCGTTCGAGAGGGAAGGATCGTACGCTGGAGACAAAGAGTTGGATCTGAAGCTGGAGCAGACCTCTCAGGTCGTTGGGGAGACTTAATTGTTGGAGAAGTCAGTGCAGGTATGTCCCGGAAGCCCCCCACCTTCAATGGTTTGTTCGCGGGTTTGGAATGGCGGGGTCAACTGGAAGTTTAGGAGGAGGAAGCTGGATGTGTGGGGTGATGGCGAGCCTCCGTCAGCGTTGAAGAAGGAATCAAGGACGAGGGAGAGGTCGTACGGAAGGAAGGAGGAGCTGATCTTTGCGGAGGCTCCGATCGAGCAATTGAAGATTTCACTGGTGGCAGTTTCGGCCATAGGGAAGGTGCGGCCAGAGACGATACTAGAATCCCGCTCGTCGCGAGAGGAGAAGAAGGTGAGGGGCGATCAGGTTGTCCTGCTGGAGAGAGTGGGGACAACGGCAGCTTTAGAAGGGTGGTTGGTGTACTCCCTTGCTGCGACCGTCGAAGAGAAATAGAGAGGCGACGGTGAGTTTCTTCATGCATCACTTAAGTTCGAGACGACGATGGAATCTGGCTAGCCTACGTGCCGCCGGCGGGGCAGCTCGTCACCGGGAAAATTGAAACAACTGGCAACGAAGAGACCAGAGGCGAGCTGGTAGACTCGCCGCTTGGTGGAGTGGCCGGCGAATGAAATGGAGGAGGGTGGCGATGTCTCTCTACTCACAAGACCTAGGTCGGTCGTAGGGATGGGCTCCGCACAACAAAAGCTAGAGGTTGCACTAGTGGACTAGATTCTTTGGGCCGGGGCCTAGAGTGAGTTAAACGAGTATGTCTGGGTTTCGGGATCTCCCTCGTGGGCATCATTTCTGGTCGGAAGGAGATGCAGGGCCGGATGAGACTTCAGGAAGTTGGGCCATAAGGAGTGGGCAACTTGGTGGAGTCTGCTCTGGGCCAGGAGAGTTAGCATAGCGTACCAAGGGAGAAGCAAGGATTGGAGTCAAATGGGCCAATTCTTGGGCCACAAATGAGATGTCCTTTAGGGGATCTATTGTATGGAGTGGATTTGAAAGAAAAAGAAGATGAATTCGCGGGCGTGTGTGATGGGTTCAAAGAAGAACCACGCTCTAATTCTTACTCCGTGGAGTTTGAAAAGGAAGGTGGAGAGTCAATTGGTCATGGATGCGGTCCGAGCCACATGGTTGGAGAAGAAGCAATGAGATTCGTAGTTGCTGGAGTGGGATTCGTTTGAGTAATAGAGCACGATTGGAAGAAATGGAAGCGTAAGAAATAGAGGAGTGGACCGCAGACTGTGCGAGAAGAAAGGGAAGAGTGGGTCGAGTTGATCAACCTTGAGGAAAAGGTTGGTCTCAAGGGGAAGGAGATGATAGAAACACGTTTCGTGATTCTATCATAATTATTATTATTAGGAAATTTACAAATAAGGATAGTAGTCTTTTAGTAGAATTAGGTTTATTATTAAGGTTTTCTATCTTTTCCTATATAAGTGTACTTTGGGATTTCATTAGAATCCGTCAAGAAGAATATTGAGAAAACTCTCCTAAACCCTAATATCTTCCTATCCTCTCAATTCTCGATCTCAAACCTCTAAAGGCATAGGCCAATTCTCTATCATTCTCTTCTCAAATCCCTTATTCTGTTCTTAATCCTTAATTCCCAATCTCACGATCAGATCCGATAGAACCTTAATATCAGTATTTATCAGTGTCTCACAAAAGGGTTCATGGTCCTCTTGCCACGCGACCATGGACTTCTCAATCATGCACATGGCCTTCTTGTCTCACGACCATGGACATTTTGGGACTTCGTCACTAGTGATATAATGCTCCACCACCACGCTCTTCTCATTCGTGTTCATGGCCCCTCTCATGAGGCGACATGGACCTCTCATTCATGCACATGGTCCCTCTCGTGAGGCGGCATGTCCTTTCCATACTTTGCACATATTGTGTCGTTAGGTCTTGGTGATGAGATGGCATAGCCTCTTCATTCGTGACCATGGACTTCTCAATCATGTTTGTGGCCCTTCCCGTGACATGGCATAACTTTCTCATACTTAGCATTTTTCAATGATGCATAGGTCCTTTAGTCTCGCATCCATGCCACTTCTCGTGAAGCAGCATGGACATCTCAGACTTATTATTTTTTATATCCTTTGATATAGTCTTCTTGTGGCATGATCACGTGACTTGAGAATTTCCCCGTGTCCATGGTCCTTCTCGTTAAGATGACATGTACTTTTAGATTGTAGACGGACATGACCCTCTTTATGAAGCGGCACGTGCCTCTAGATTCTAGATGGACATGGCCCTCCTCATTGAAGCGACATGTGCCTCTCCAGACTGAGTTTATTTTTATACAATCTCGTGGAATGGCATGGCATGACCTCCTACGAGAGACCAATGTCACTCATTGAATCATGTCCATGCTCACTATTACATGGTGGGTTGGGCTTAAAATCAATATCCATAAGGCCCAACTTAAACAACATTAATTTTTATAATTGATGCGATCTTATAAATTTCTTGATTTACTTGTAACTCACCAATGGCATGGATTCTTCTCGGCGACTGCAGCGGACTGGCTTCGGATGAACCTTGACGAAACGGACAACGAAATTTTGGTTATCGAGTGGGCAACTCTGTTTAGCATTGCTGCTTGGCTGATTTGGAAAAACATAAATGATTTGTGTTTCAAAGAGGCCACGTACACGCTGAGCCCGCCTTCCTTGGCTCATTCCATAATTGCCAAAGCTAGAATCTTGAGTGAAGGCTGGCGTGCTCCCTCCTCGTGGCCGAACTTGAGGAAGGCTCCGACAGCCATGGTTGTGGTAGCCATCGCTTGGATACCGCCAACGGGAGGATGGGTGAAGTTGAATATTGTTGGCACATCCAACGAGAACCCGAGTCTGGCCAGTGCGGGTGATGTTTTGAGAGATGGGGCAGGTCATTTGCTTAGCGGATTCGTGGCAAAGATTGGGCAAGCCTCCGCGGCGTTGGCGGAGCTGTGGGAATTTTACCATGGCTTGGACTTAGCTTGGAAGTCCAGGTATAGACAGCTCGTGTTAGACTCGGACTCGCAGCTCTCCATCCAGTGGATTAATGACATACATGACTCAGTTCATCCTTACGCCACTTTGTTATCTTCCATTCACAGGATTATTAGTCGATATGGGTTGGTGCGCATTGTTCATGTATATTGGGAAGAGAATAGAGTCGTGGACTGGTTCTCGAAGCACAGTCTCGTCTACCCCTACGGTATGCATGAGCTTGTTCACCCGCCATTAGGCATAATATCTGTTCTTCACTGACGATATGCAGTGAGTGTCCTTCGAGCGATGGATTATCAAATGCCAGGATAACTCTTCTACCCCCACTCCTCCCCGTGTAATCACTTCTTTTTTTGGCTTTTGCCTCCAGCAATGTAAAAATAAAATAAAATAAATTCTAATAATAAATTATTGTATCGATTGATGAATAGTTTTTGGTTTCCAGACGTTTGTATCCAATGTCCGTCATCATAATTTATTTCATAAATCAGAGTCATTTGGATGATGATATACACAAGCATTCTAGAGAATATGAAAATTTAACTAAATAAGACGTTGAGTAAGACGAGTGATTTTGAAATACTTCAAATGCAGGTTTTGAAATTCCTGTGTTTGGTATGTCATATGTAAATCATTAGAAATAAATGAAGTGAATCCCCAAATCATGTTTGGCATAGGTTTAGAATTGAATTAAATTACAAGTTTCTCCAACTACACCCTTATTAATTTCAGTGGAAAACAATATTCATTGAAATCCATCTTGTAAAAAATGTCTTTGGTCCCATACGTAGAATATCAAAAGTGTTTTTTTTTATCAGAGTGATATCAAGAGAAGACAAGATTTATACAGACAAAACTACCCAAGAATCTCCTACAAGCGACACCCTAGTGAACCCATCCAAAAAAGTCAAAAAACTCTAAGCAATGCTTTAGGCGCCACTCTATGGGCAACACTGTTGGCGGCTCTAGGAACCGCCCTAAACTCTACACAAACTAACAAAGAGTCTAAAAGCTGACGACACTCCCGTAGCACCCGACCTCCAAGTGAATCTTCTATGACACTTTGTCGGAACTGGTTGACAACCACCTCAAAGTCACCTTCCACTATCACGTGAGTCAAGGATCTTGAGACGACGATGGTGATAGCATCTCTTATTGTTAGGAGCTCTGGCAGGAAGGGGTTGACAATTCCCATGTGTGACGCATATCGGATGCCAACACCACATGCCCGTCTGACCCATGGATAACAAGACCAGACGAGCACCCTGATTCACGAATAGCTGCATCAAAGTTGATCTTCAAATAATCGTCGTGGAGGCTCCCAAGAGGCTTGATGAGGATTAAGAAGGAGCGATCTGGGGGGGGGGAGGTTGGAGACTAGAAAGACCTGGTTGTAGAAATGTCTGGCAAGGGAACGGACATGAGGTTGGTAGAATCCAAAAGTCACTTTATTTCTAAACTTCCAGATTATCCAAAGTAAACAGACGCATTGGAGAATGAGGAATGGGGAGATCTCAGAGATCATGACAAGTCGCCACCATAGAATAAAATTAATAGTCAGGGCGGAATTAATGATGTTGCTCAATCTCACTTAGACCATAACTTGGTGGCTAGGGGGCATCTAAATTAATGGTATCAACAAAAATCATTAGTTCGTTGCGGCACTATGAGTGCTACTTCCACAATAAATTTGTTTATTAGTATCAGCAAAAATTCATACCAAGCCCATAAAGAGGCATTACCTGTCTCACGAAAAAAAGGCATTACCTGTTACTTAAAAGACCTTGAAAATTAATATATTTATTATCATGCTCTCTATAATTGACATGTAAACGGTAAATGGGGATTATTTGGTATTGAAAATACCATGCATGACCGAAGGTGCGGAGAGCGTCGTTTTTGGATTGGAGGAACTAAATAGTTCTTCTCATCAATTGATGGGAATTACTAGTCTTGATTGCCATGCGATTTCTTCATGTAAGTATTGCAATCATTGATATTCAAAATTGATTTCCGCAATAAATACACGGAAGCGGATTTGAGGCGACGACCATTATCGGAGGCAATTAATTACCTGTTTCTCTTCGACCAGCAAAAGTTTTCCGGCGATGACGTCGTATGCAAGCCAAATCCAGGTTTAGAGCCAATTTTAGTTTACTTGCGCCACCAAGAAAGGGAGATCGGCTGGGGGCCATCCCATATCTGACAATAACGAAGGGGTTTAAAGGACTTTTCAAAAGATTTTAGTTGATTGCTTCATTTTCGCATGCTGGTGTTTGAGTCTACCGAATAATGGAGCAGCTGAACAAGTTCTCGAGAGCAAGAGAGAGGTCCTTGTAGCCGCCATAAGTCTTGAGGTCGACTTTCATGAGATACGGCTCTCTGTCCATGCTGACTTTGACATACAAACAGACTCATGTTGATGATGCTTATCCCCCGTTTGTGGGTGCACCTCCTTCCACCACGCCGCCGTTCTTTGGAGTAGGATGGGAAACCATGGTGTTCTTACGAAACAAATGAATTGGAGGCCATCCCACCACTTGTGCCTTTTAAGCTGGACCGCGCCGGAACCGGCAGCCTGAGCATTCTTCTTCTCCATCGCGGACGGCGACTGAGGAGGCATCTCGTCGCCTTTGAGAGCCTGACCCTGCTCGGAATTCGCAGCGGCAGAGGGTAGACTTGTAGCCTATAAAACTGGGAATCCATAATTCTCCCAATCAAAGGGGCATCAAAAGAATTAACTGAGCAAAGCCCATGTTAATGAGGAATTATTTCCTCAAATAACATCAAATAAATGGTGATTTAAAAGCCATAATGGCCCTTAACGACTAATGTCGTAAATTTAGTCCGAAATGGACGAATGCCTCCAATAAATGGCATTTACTTCTGATAAGGACATTGTGAGCTATTTTTTAACTCAACGGCTAAACGCCGCCCTAATTTTACTATTATCTCCCTAATTTAAAACGTAGACTTACTAATTTATCCTTTGATTAATCCAACCAAATAATAAATAAACAAATCCTAAAATCTCTCTTCCTCCAATACCGTCAACCACCACCTCTCCAATTACCCTCCGCCGATTTGCCGCCCTTCATCTCTTCCGCCATCCTCCAAACCATTATCCCCAATTCACCACCGACACTCCTTCTCCCCGCAATAGTTTTAAGTAATTATGTTTCAACTATGCACAACTCAATGAGCAAAGTCGAACACAAAAATTAACAAGATTAGGATTCTGAAACGTTAATTAGTTGCGAGCCACCTCTAACGCAATCGATCCCCACTCCGCCATCACGTCGCTCTCTTTCAATCCGGCCACCGCCGGTGGAGCTTCAGGCTTAAAATCCAATGAAATGCCATTATTGGGTAGTTAGTTCCTCACCACTTCACTACCAATAAATTCCCAGGTCCTGTAATTTACTGAGTACTCTAGCCTTACCCAGATTGCTTATTGTTTCATCCGAAATGGATGGTGAAGCTGCTAACTGTTGCTGACTCTATTTTGGTATTAGGTGTGAGAGATTGCCTACGGCGATTATGAAAATATAAGCAATAAATGTAAAAGGGCCAAAATGTAACTTTAGTTATTAAATTAGAGCGATTATAAAAAAAATTAGGGCGACAATTAGCAATCCCCTTTTTAAACGGTATGGTGCAATTAAAAGGTATTTGTGACCAATTAATGAGGATTTAAATTACTGAACCCTACAATCTAGCAATTAAAGGTATTTGTCACCCTTCAAAAGTGTTATTGTGTGTTTCTATTCTATTCATTAGTTCTTTTCTAATATTTTGTCAATGAACCCTACAATCTAGTTGTGCCTTCTTAACGTAGTGATACAATCGAGGCATAAATATAAAATAACCAGCAAATACTCTAGCATTGCAATCAAATTCTTGGTGACATTCCTCACACTGCATCAATTGGCGCCAAATAGTATACGTGGAAGTAATTTAGTAATAAATGAGGATAATTATGTCATTCTCTTATAATTAGTAGGGCTTATTCCATTTAAAAGCCCAAACTATTCAAAAAGTGTCATTTGTGTCCTAAACTATTCAATATGACAAATCTGGCACAAACTATTTTTTTTGTTAATGTTGACCGACGTAGATCGTTTGTATTTATCAGAAAATCTAGTCAACATCTATGTGGTTTGTGCCAGATTTGTCATATTAAATAATTTAGGACACAAGTGACACTTTTAGTATGGTTTGGGCTTCCTGGTGGAATTAGCCCTAATTAGTAAATCCTTGTGGAATTCATTTCCAAATTCCATCTCAATTCCTCGGAATCGCTATAAGTAGTTTCAATTCCGTAGAATTCAAAATTTAGAATTGAAAATAAATTCTTTTAAATAGCAAACGCAAAAAGATTTAATTTCAAAATAAATTTCTCAAAACTTGTGAAATTTATTTATACCAAATGATATATAAGCGTTTTGAAATGTCACTCTTTATTTTTTTCCAATTCCATCCCTAATAAATTTAATGAAGCCCAAAATGACCCTCGCTCCTTATTTGGTTATTTCCTCTCCCTTCACCACCATTGCTCGACTGCTCCTCCATTTAGAAAATGTCGTATCTAAATTGTCATTTTCCTCTCTAACCGCCACTATCTCTTCTATTGATATTGGCTAGCTAGCTTGGCCAACTTCAATGTTGCACCATCTACAAAGCACTACTTCCTCATGATCTCGCCGCCGAGAGTAGTTAGGAAGTGGCGGCAGCGTGGAGCATAAATGATTTGGTTATGAAATCTGTTGTTGAATTTAGTCTCAAGGTTTCCATAGGAGTTGACTCTTCCTTGATGAGAGCGTATGGCAAGACCTATCCAGGTTTTGTCAGATCTAGGGATGACAATTTTGCTCATATTTATGGGTTTTTTTACTATCCAGCCCAATTCGGTTGGGTATGAAATCCAAATAAATGGATATGGGTAGAATTTGATGGGTTTGTACTCATACTCATTTACTTGGGTTGGGTTGGGTTTATAACAAATGAATTTGGGTTTGTACCCATGCCCAAATGCAAATTACAGTTTGATACCTAAACCTAATAGATATGCAATATCCATACCTTACCCAAACCTATTTACAAACTCCCAAACTCATTTGCACTTCACCCATACCCAACCAATTATGAATGGATCTACTTGGATTTGAGTATAATTACCATGGGTGGATAATTGCCATCTCTAGTCAGACCCTTTCTTAGCACTTAGGGATGCTATGTTATGGTGCTCAAATCAGGGTTCTAATGCTATTTGCTTTTGTGGGGATTCCCCATTGGTGATTCGCCAAGCATTGGAGAACGCTGTGCAGCATGACCGAGGGAGAGCGGTGCCTGAAGAAGTGCAGTTATTGAAGACTTCCTTTTCAATAGTTCGTTTTGTTTATACTTCTCGTATTATTAACATGGCTGCTCATTACACAGCAAAAATGACATTTGCATTGGTAGATCAATATTTGGTTGACTTCACTGTTTACTTTCCAATCCCTTGTTATCTCCGGTCTATATTCGACCTATCTATGGGGAAAAAAAGAGGATCATAAGTTGGATT